AAGCCATACATTTTATTTGTTAAGTCAAGTGAAAAATGTGTCTGCCCTTCTCCAGTTAGCTGGCAGGAATTGAGCAAACATCAATTTTGCTTTTCTTTTTTCCTGGAAGTCAGTTCAGTGCTTTAAAAAAAAAACATTGATTGCCATGCCTGAAAATGTAAATCCTCTATAAAACAATCATAGTGGCCACAGGTTTGAGTCTTTTGGTTTGAGCTGAAGGGCAAGAGCCCATGGTTTGCAGCTGTGCCCTTGACTGACCACCCTGGAGGATACCACACCAGACTAGAGTATTTTGAATGTCTTTTGTATTTCGTTTTTCCTGTGCCTTTATTTAGACCGTGTTTTGTTTCAGCTGCACTGATATTTTTTGTAAGTAATTTTGGGGCTCCATTGAGGAGAAAAGTAGAATAATAAATGCTCTAAATAAATACACTCCTAGCTGCATAAATGTTTACATCGCATTTTTACCTTATCAGGAACAATTATGAGTCCTTACCAGGAATTCTTCTTTCTTCTGGGGCTTCATAAGAACTTGAGTGGAGGGGCATGTTTCCATGATAGAATGTCCACTTACCATGCAGAAGATCCCGGGTTTCAACCTCAGCATCACCAGTTAAAATGATTGTCAGGGGTCCCCAACATGAAGAAGAAAGGGAAGAGTTTTTCTCTACCTTAAGGAGTCTCAAAAAGGCTTACAATCACATTCCCTTCCTCTCCCCACAGCAGGCACCATGTGAGGTAGGTGGGGCTGAAAGAGTTCTGAAAGAATGGTGACTGGCCCAAGGTCACCCAGCAGGCTTCATGTGGAGGAGTGGGGAATCAGACCCAGTTCTCCAGATTAGAGTCCACCACTCTTAACCACTACACCACGCCCATCAAAACCTTTCCTGGTGCCGACCAGTTGTTTTTAGAAAGTGGGTGGGACCAGGTAGGGCTTTTGCCCAGCAGAGGTTTTGTTTGGCTTTGGAGATTTGATTGGGTGTGCAGATTTTAAAAACACTGCTTTGGCAGCAGCTGTCACCACAATTACAAGGATTTTTACTGTGTGGCTAAAGGTAAGCTGCAACTATTTTGTCTGGTCCTGGCTTCAGCCACCATGCTGTGTCAGAATTTCAAAGGTGCCCACAGGCTCAAAAAGGTTGTAGACCCATAGATTAGGTAGTAGCAGATGGGAAATATCCCTACCTGAGATCCTTGAGAACTACTGCCAGTTGGTGTAGACAGGGCTGACCTTGATAAACCAAGGGTACTCAACATAAGAGAAGCCAATTTTGGGTCAGGAGGCCAATTTTTTAATTTAGTTTTTATTTTATTTTTTGTATTTGTATCCCGCCCATCCCATGAGCGGGCTCAGGACAGGTCACATCATCTCAAATAATACAGCAAGGTTTAAAACTCAATAAAACATTACATTATAAGCATTTAAAATCAGTAGTTATAGCTGCTGGTGCAAATTCCGACCCATTAATACTGATGGCTATGGCCAGTTGCTGGCAGATGGGTGGCCAGTAGGTAGAAGACAGCAACCTCGGGGAGGCCATATGTGGATGCCCGCTGCCTCAACCAAAAGCCTGGCGGAACAGCTCCATCTTGCAGGCCCTGTGGAACTGAATAAGATCCCGCAGGGCCCTGATCTCGATGGGGAGCATGTTCCACCAGGTGGGGGCCAGGGCAGAAAAGGCCCTGGCCCTGGTCGAGGCTAGACAGGTGTCTTTTGGGCCAGGGACCACCAGGAAATGTTGATTACTAGAGTGTAAAGCTCTTTCAGGCGTATATGGGAAGAGGCGGTCCCAGGCCGTATAAGGCTTTGAAGGTTATTACCAACATCTTGAAGCGGATCCGGTACTCAACTGGCAACCAGTGCAGCTGTCAAAGCACATGCTGAACGTGAGCCCACACAGGTGTTGACGTCAGCAGGCATGCCACCGCATTTTGTACCAGCTGTAATTTCCGGATCAGGGGTAAGCCTGCGTAGAGCGAATTGCAGTAATCAAGCCTGGAGGTGACCATTGCATGGATCACAGCTAGGTCTTGGGGGGAAAGATATGGCTTCAGTAGCCTGATCTGCCTAAGATGGAAGATAAGCGTATGGAACAGAAGTCCATCAGTGGCTGTTAGCCACAAGGTTTAGACAGGAACTCTCAGTCTGGGGCAAGTGATGCTCTGTATTCTTGGTGCTTCGGAGGGGCAACAATGGGAGGGCTTCTAGTGTCCTGGCCCCACTGCTGGATCTCCTGATGGCACCTGGTATTTTTGGCCACTGTGTGACAGAATATTGGACTAGATGGGCCATTGGCCTGATCCAACATTGTCTTCTCTTATGTTGTTATGAACGCAGATCTGGCAACTGCGGCAACCTGAGCCTCCATAGACAGAGAGGCATCCAGTGTTACTCCCAGGCTTCTCACTGTTTGGGCTGGCACCAAAGGTGCCCCTTCAAGTGTGGGAAGCCTGGTGCCCACATCCATGTTCCCTTGACCCAGGTACAGGACCTCCATCTTCGATGGATTTAACTTCCGCCAACTCTGCCGCAACCATCCATTCACAGCTTCCAAGGCTACACCCAGCGTTTCGGGAACAGAAGACGGATGGTCGTCCATTAACAGATAGAGCTGGGTGTCATCAGCATATTGGCACTGAAAGTGGATTATTTAGTGTGTGTGATTGCAGCCTAAGATGGTTTGCCAGTTACAGCTACTCATAGAGGAGAACAATCAGGTTACCGATACATGTCTGGGGTGAAAAGTCTATAACATGCTCTTCATGGAGCGACTTTTGAAAACTTATCTAGAAACCTATTTCAACATACAGTTGCTGGTTTATTATGGAATTGCACCAAGGGAAGCATGTTACATCAGCACAAAACTGTGTGGCCCCGGATTTGCTCCAGGGCACAATTCAGGAGCCAGTTTGGTGTAGTGGTTAAGTGTGCGGACTTAATCTGGGAGAACCGGGTTTGATTCCCCACTCCTCCACTTGCACCTGCTCCTGTGACCTTGGCTCAGTCACAAGCTCTGGCACAGCTGTCCTTGAAAAAGAGCAGTTTGTGTCAGAGTTCTCTCAGCCCCACCCACCTCACAGGGTGTCTGTTGTGGGGAGGGGAAGGGAAAGCAGTTTGTAAACCGCTCTGAGACTCCAAGTGAAGGGCAGGATATAAATCCAGTCTCCTCTTCTCCTTCTCCTTCTCCTTCTCCTTCTCCTTCTTCTTCTTCTTCTTCTTCTTCTTCTTCTTCTTTTTTAATTTTTTGAAGCTCCTAGTGTCCTTTCCCCAGGTTATTTAAGGGAATATATACTATATAACCCTCCCTGTATACTGAGATCCTCTAGAGAGAAGGTGAGGCTTTTTCAACAATCGCACTCTGAAATTCCCTCCCCAAGAAAACCTGCCACTCTGATTCCAAATAATAGCCAGGGGTCTTTTCTTAGAAAAAGAGCTGCAGGCGCTCATTAACATACGGTATGCTAATGAGCTACTAGGCTATTAGCATAATAGCTCATTAGCATATGCACCGCCCCCTGACATCACCAGAAGTGATGTCAGAAGGGGAAGCAAAGGGGGGGAGGCATATTCAAAAGCCTCCCCTTCCCTTTCCCGGGGGGGGGAGCAAAGAGAGTTCGGCCGCAGAAGGAGGAAAGAGGAAAAGAAAGAGAAGGAAAGAAGGAGGGAAAGAAAGAGCAAGAAGGGAAGAAGGAGGGACAGAAGAGGGCAAAGAGATGGGGGGAGGCTCTCCCACCCCCCATCCCCCAATCAAGCCTCCGCCACCCCCCGTAGATCCCTCACTTACCCCAGGAGGCGGCGGTGGGGGGGCCTTGGAGTCAGCAGGGGGCTCTTCTGGCTTCCCATGGGCCGCAGCGTTTCAGCACTGGCCCTGGGAGGCAGCGGGGGGCTCTTTTGGCCTCCCAGGGCCGCAGCGCTCCGGTGCTGGCCCAGGGAGGCAGCGGGGGGGCCTCTTCTGCCCTCCCGAGGGCCGCAGTGCTCTGGCGCTGGCCCGGGGAGGCAGCAGGGGGCTGCAGCGCGGGGAGCTGGGGGCGGGGCTTGCTACCACCGCCTCTGGCGCCTGGGCTCCCGGAGCAGCGCTCCGGTGTGCTCCGGCCCCAAAAGAACCCTGATAATAGCCCAGTTTTTTCTATAAAAAGTAAATGAACAGCTATGCTCAAGCATAAAGCTTACTATGTAATTACAAAAGGCCCAGTATTTTAAAGCAATGGCAATGTTATATCTGTAAACTTGTTTCCCAAACTAAATTTATAGCCAAAGACTATTACATGCATTGTTTGCCAGAGGCATCAAATGAGGAGCAAGCATCTGGACCTATTCCATATCTGGCTGCATTCATCTGTGAAGCTTTGTAGGATACTGCATTTCCTTTCCTTGGTTCTTAATGCCTCGAACTTGTGCCCGATAAATGTTTAATCCCAAAATAATGTTGAAGTAGAATTTTTTGAATGGGATTAATTAAACAAGTGCTATCATCAGAATTGGACCATGCTGTAAAGCTCTTATTTAGAAGCTTCTTAGAAATGCACAAGGCTGCTGCCAGTAAAGAGGCCTGAACTTAAAGTTACAGAGAGTTCATGATCCTGCTAAGAAAACTGACATGATATGAACCTCATTTACCTGCATCCCAAGAGTTCCAGAGGTATTAATTTGGTTAATCTGAGTATTCTGGTGAACCAAATCAGCAGTTTGAGCCTCCTGTTAGTCAAGAGAAAGTTTTTCTGGGTTTGTTGGCACTTGATCATTATTAAGCATCTACAGGGTCTATGCATATAGCATCAAAAAAGCAATCCCAAGCAGGTATAATCAGAAATAAGTCCCATTTTATTCATTGGGGCATATCCCCAGGAAACTGTTCTACCAACATCCATTGTCAAGTTTCTTCTAGGATCCTTGGTGTTTCTTCTTTGTTTCTCTTATATGTTCCAAATTAAGCCTTGGATTATTTTAGTACATTTATTGGGTAATTTATGATCTGTGCTTTTTTATTTAAAAATTGCAGAGCAAACTGGGAAGAGAACAAAGGGAAGGAGAAGTGACCCAAAAAGAAAGGGAAGAGATGATAGGAAAAGCAGTCCAGAGAAGAAAGAAAAAAGGAAATCAGGGAATGAGTTGGTGCTGCAACAACTGGGTAAGTGTGGAATTGAAACTGCTGCTTCAAAACCCATGGAGTGGCTAAACGAGTTGCAAATGATCTCCTTCTGTGGGCTGCAGAATATAAGTTAGAGAATTTATAGCTAAAAATGTTACAGTAAGAAGAGGCCCAAACCCCAGTCCTACGCATACTTTATTCAAATTATTTTTAAAGTTGCTTTTACCCTTCTGCACTATACTTGCATCGGTCCTCACCCAATGCCAGCAGCACATTGTGTTCTTGGTTTTAATGAAGCGAAGAGGGAATGTGTGGCTTTGCCCTGGTTCACCATGGGGAGGGAGGGAGGAATGCTTGTTTCAGCCCTGAACAGGGCAAAAGACCTTAAAAGACCTGAATAATTTTTTAGAAATGTAGATGAAGTAGAGTTTCCAGGTTCAACTCAGGAAATACCTGAGGACTTTGGGGTGGAGCCTGGAGACTTTCCCATTCCCTAAAATAAATAAATAAAAATACAGCACTGCAGTTTCCTCGTCCTCTTTTTTGCCTTCAGAGGGTTCCCCAGCAGCTGCACTTTCACTAAATGAAAGTATAATTTTTCATACCCCCACAAGTCCCTTGTCAGGCTTTCGTAGCATTTCCAAGCATGGCTTTATTAAGGGACATACACACACTCACAAAACAGCCAAAATAAACAATGAATCTTTTCCTAAACATGAACAGTTTGCAAGCCCACACTTTTGTGATCTCATTGGGGCAATGGTGTAAATCGCTTTACTCATGGGAGTTGCTGAATGTAACAATCTGCTTTATTTCAACCAACTTCTTCAGACTAACACAGAAAAACAAAAGTAAATAAGAGAGCAGTCTAGGGGGTGGAGTTTTCCTCCATCCCATAATCAGGTTCTAGTTAACTCTTTACTATCCGTTTTACTATACACATGACTTCTGAAACAAGTGAAAAACAAACAGAGGGACTGTGCTCTCTTTGTCTCTCACATACTTCACACACCCACTGGGAAGAACCACGTGGCTCATGCCTGCTTGCCCCCCCCCAATGAGGCTTTTATCTTGCTGAGATTTAAAGACACACACACATTCCCAAACACAAACAGTTTGCAAACTTCTTCTAAAATGATCTGCCGAGATTTAAAGGCACATCATGGCTGTTGGGGTGGGGCTTCCCCCGGCTGGCCAGCCTCCCGGCAGCAGGGCGAAGCCTACAAAATCAGGGGATCCCCTACCCAGACCTGAGGGCTGGCAAGCCTAAAATGAAGGCATTAAGAAGGAAGAAGGGCCCCCTAAAGGCCAACAAGATTGGCATTCTTTAAACATGTTTTAAAATCTGTTCCTATAAGCTTTTAAAGATTCTGGATGATGAATTTATTTTAGAGTACAAGTTACAATTTGGTGATTGTATGTTTGCACTGCTAAATAAAATTACAAGAATGATTCATTCCATAGTCCCACACATAGTCTTGCCAAGTTGCCCACCACTGCCTTACCCCCTGCCCTTGCCCATTGGAGTGTCAGGAGCAAAATGGGGGTGGTGGGGGAACAGCATTGCACAATACTCTCAGCATTCCCCAAATCTCTATGGTTTCTACCATAGAGTTTTGGGAAGTCCTATATGTTTCCCCACTCTCCTCTCCCAGATGCTCCCGGCACACCTCTGGTGATATACTCTCTTCCATGCATACAGTTTTTGGACATGCAGCACTGAATAGGTCACATCCAATATTATTTAAAAACAAAGTTGCTTTCATTGTAGATTAAGAAAGGTAAGGTATTTCAATAAATCAAATAAGTGAATATGTTACTGTTAAATATGTCACTTAAAAATGGTTAGGCGGATGTTGCTGCACTCAGTGTTACAGTGGGAAATTGCCTACCCCCCAAGAATGTATCGGTCACAAAATGGTGTCGTTATTGTTGCAAGTCGGACGGAATTGTGTTGCTTACAACCACTGGTTTACTTTGCAGGCATTGTTCAGTAGGCACCCACACAACACAGTGCATTTGGCAATTGAAAGAACAACGGATGTTGTAGCTGGAGGAAGAATCACTTTTCCCTAGCAATTTCCTAGGATGAATGCTTTATCCCCACAACCAGAGCACTGCTCTGAGGATAGAGGTCTGAGTACCCCACCACAAAAGAACAAACAGCTGTGCAATTTAATGTGTGGGGAAAAATCTGGAAAGTTCCCCAGTTACGAGTGGATAAACAGAAGAATTTAGTCACCAGTAATGGCTATGTAAATAATTTGTAGTGCTTGGTAAGACATTCTGCATCCTACCAATAAAGGATTCTTTTTGCAGTGCCTGTTTTAGTCAGCCAGCCAGTGTTAGAGAGGCCTTAAACATTTTTGTAGTTACCATCTGCTATTTATTTTAATATGCTGCTTCTTCAAAGTCCAGTTCAAGGTAGCTTACAAATAAAACAGTACAATAAAATCAATGAACAACAGCATAAAAACAAGCCATTAAAATCATAGGATGAACATCTGCTACAAAGGGCAAACATCATTTGGGTTTTGAAACAGTTGGATCCAGGACTCCTCAGGTTCCTTGCAGCCACAGAGTGGCTGTGGTAAATGGCTTCTGAAAAATAAAAGAGAGCCCAAATAGGTTCAGAACACTGCTAAAGGGGAAGAAGGGCTCCTGCCTCCCCACCCCCAAGCCACTTCACTGCTCCAAGGCAGCACTGGGGCAGGGAGTTATTTCCCTGTTTTTGCTGTTCCCTATGCACAGAATACTCCATGGAGATCAGCAAAAATGGGGATGTAAATTATAACTCCCCCTCACACCACCCAAGAATTGTTTCGGCACAAGAAAATGGCTTGAGGGGACAGGCAGGAGCCCTTACTCCCCCTGTGGTGGCATTTCAAGCCCATTCAGGCTCTCCTTTATTTTTTAAAGCCATTCCCCACAGTCACACCCAGAGCCCACTCTTAAGCTGAATGTCTAGGTTGACTTTAACCGTGTTCTTGGTTTTAATGAACTCAGTCCTGACAAACACTGTCCTGAAGTACACTATACCAAATTGATTGCTGATCGTGAAGATATAGAATTACTGGCATACTTGTGAACTCATGTGACAAACTGAAGTGAGTTGTTTTTATCATAATGATCTTTGTTGAGCTCCAAACCATAGATCTTCATGTTACCATATTAGAATTCTATGTTTAGCCGTTGTGAAACATTTAATGCAGGTAGTAAGCAATGCTGTTCACACTGAGGTTTTACAAATCTGCCGTTCTTAACTTTGCTGGTCTTAAAGGTGCTACTGGACTTGAATTTTGCTCTGTTGCTTCAGACCAACATGGCCACCCACCTGAATTAGTCTTTCCAAATTGCCTTGTCTGCCTGATTATCACTACAGATATTTTACCTGCCCTTTAAAATTGTATCTAAAGCAAAACCACGATGAAAGACTCCAGCTTCTAAGGTGTCTGTTCTTTGTATTCCCATTATTTTTATAGGTTTGCCGCCTTCCTTTCCCATTGATGGGACCTTCTTCAACAGCTGGCTGGCTCAGTCTGTACAGATTACCACGGAGAACATGGCAATGAGTGAGTGGTCTTTGAACAATGGCCATCATGAAAATGCCACACCTGGTCTCTCTGAGGAACTTCTACAAGATGAAGAAACCTTGTTAAGTTTTATGATGGATCATTCCTTGAAGTCTCCATTGAAGCAGAGTGACACAGCAAAGAAAGCTAAAAGTAAACTGCGCACACACACTAAGAAAAAATCTGCAAGAAATGGCTTGAATACTATCTTCAAAAGTCACCAACAGGACAATTCAAATCAGTGGACTAATAATGTGAATTATTTGCCAGACGACACCACAAAATCTTTATTCCACGATTTAAGGAACAGCAAGGCAGAGAAAGGTATGGACAGACTTCAGCCAGAGCGCAAGGGGATGTGTGAAGCAAAAAAGACATCTAAGAAGGGTTCTCATCCTGCACCTCCTCTTCCAAAAGCAAATGATTCTCAAGCTTCCCAAGGTCTGATAAGTAACCTAAGCAATGATGAGGAGCCAGTGAAATATCTCCCATCTGATCCCAGCTCTCTGGTTAAAGTGCCTGACTCAGTAGGTAGTCCGAAAACAGTAGTGAGGTTCAAATTACCAAAAGAGGGCAGAGGGACTCGAAGATCACAGAATGAGAAGACTGACATGGTTAATGGACTTCCTCCAGGAACTGAAAGATCAAAGGTGATCTTACACCCTTTTGACAATGAGACTGATGGCTACTTCTCAGATGCAGAAATGAGTGACTCCGACACAGAATCCAGTAGTGGCAGAGGGCCCTGTAGCCACTTAGATTCAGGAAACGAGGATAATTTCAGAATGGGTATTTTGGCATCGTAATACACCAGACAGACCAATTGCGACAGCCCATTGAGGCCTAAATCCAGTTATAACTGCCATGTCCCCATTTCTTCCTGGTATCATAACAGAGAGTTGTTTCAGTTTATTTTGTTTTAATTTGTATATGTAGTTTTGAAATGAGCACTGTTGTTTTTCCTCTCCTCTATATGCCTGAGAAACAGCTGAAGCTTCACTGACTTTAGAGTATATGCTGTAACAGTAGCTAGCCTTTCTTAGTCAAGATCTGCATATCCCAGTTAAATGAAACGCAAGCATGTGCATTATTAGGAACTTGTGCTTGCTGGTAGTGAACAGGACATCCTAGAATTTTAATGAGAAAGTCTGAGATTGCCAGTATCTGTTGTTCATGCAGGGATGACAGTTTTATGGGCATTATTTAAACCAAGCAAGTAGATTTCATGGTCTGCCTGGTGTTATTGCCTCTGTTTGGCAGGTTGTAGAATGGGAGGACTACTACGGTAGCCAACTATATACACAGAATTTAATAGAAAGTAAATATATATGTTTGTGTGTGTGTGTGTGTGTCTGTGTGTATGCGCACGTGTGCAGAATTTGTCAGCGTGCATGTCTGTGCGCATACAACTATGAAGTAAAATAAGCGATTATTTTTTAAAGAAGCACAACAAGCTTATTTGAAGAAAGCACTTAATGGGTGGAGGAATACAACATTGTATTTATGGTCTATTAAATCCTTGATTTTTCTTTCTCACCTCTCCAGTTTGATCAGAGTCCGTCCAAGGGGCCAAGAACCAAGACTTAGCCCAGTCGCTCCAGCAGTCCGCTGGGCAGCACTATAAAACACTCATCCAAGCCTCTCAGTAGATAGAGAAGAAATACATATCCGTGTTAAAGCTGCTCTGCTCTTTTATCAGTGTCCTTCCTGAGTAACTTTTGGTATTATTTATTGGTATAACCTAACCTTCGGTTGTCTGAGGAGATTTCCATAATTTACTCAGGTTGACGGCAGTAGCCTTTTACCAAAACACTTGGGCCAAAATGGAGATCAGAAGGGGAAGACATGATTTCATGAATCAGAGAAAAGAAACTTATTCATAGATGTGTTTTCTCTGTTTGTTCTAAATCAGATGGCTTTTATTCCCAGCCTTGCAAAAGAGCTCAAGTCTATGCTTTTCAGCAACATAGCCAAATTGACACTTGCCTGTGCAGGGAGCTGAACGTGTAAACTTCCTCTTCACAGAAGTGGATGTTTGGCTGCAGAGTTTGAATACAACATAATTTGGAGGCAACTGAACTGCCTTCTCTTGCCATTTTCTTTCTTTTTGTCTAAACACTGTAATGAAATGGATGGGCTTTCTCCCCTTCCCATCCTTCCTTTTCAAAACAATACTCCTAGTAGCAAAGCCATCAAAGGAGGGTGATTCACAGAAGTTAACATTCTAAATATTACTATATCATTGTGCATACATTGTTTCTATGAAGCCTTAAGTGTCGTTCAAAAGCCCATGTTACCTATGAGTCATGAACATTTCCATGTTTGCACTCAATTACACCATCGTTTCAGTTTTGGCTTCAAAGGTCACAGTTAAAGATTTGCTACATGCTTTATGGGAGTGACCCCAGTGTGAGCTCAGGGAACAAAAACAAAAAGAAAAGTGAAGTTCACAAAAACTTTCTTTGTTGGTGGTGTGTAACTTCGAAAAAAAATAATACTGGGACACTTCTGCTTGTTGACCCATCATTTTCAAACTGGGGGAAGACGAAGACCTTGCAGTTGTTCAGATGAATCCGTGAAATTACTTTATGGATGCCAAAGAATATTTTGACATTAAAATAGCACAGCCAGAAACCGGAAACTTGTCATTTGGAGAAGAAAAATGAATGGAAGCTGTTACGCTACAAAAGGACTAGAAAACACGTTCATGACACAGCTGAGGCGTTAGGTTGCAAGCTTGCTGAAGATGATGCTTTTCTCATTTGGACCATATCCCAGCATTTTGATTTCTGATACTCTTTGCTCATTCCAGTCTGAGCAATGTCGAGTTTTTGTTCTCTGATGCCAGAAATTGGCTGTCCTTGGTTTTTAGGGTTTTTTTTTCCTTTTGAGTCAGTCATTTTACAAGCCTTCCAAAGCCCTTACCATCACTCCAATTAAGCAACAACTTGGAGAATCTTTATTCTGAAAAGAAACCAAAATCAGGAGCCAAACTCTTGTCAGTGTTTCACTGATCCAAGACGTTTTATTTGCAAAAATGCTTTTTTTTCAAAAGCAATTTGACTTAAAAACGGAACAGTTCAAAATTAGACTAACCTTTATGGGTTAGTGAGCAAATTCTGCTCCTTCATCAAGGCTTGGTATGTTCTGATAATGTTAAATACAGTAAATAGGACTTAGTTTTATCTTATCAAGCTTGCTAGGCTTTAGCTACAATATCCTAGTTATGTCATACAAATAATCAATATGCTGCCTTTTAATGGATCTTGCTTCCGTGTGCTTCAGTTCAACTATAGCTAAAAATAAAAACGAGGAAAAAATCCAGAAATCTCACTATACACAGCTTCATTCATGAGCTACTGCATTACTTGCCTGCTTAGCCAGTATAGGACAGCAAAAGGGACAAACTTTAAAGAACAACCAAATGAAAGCAACACCTTTAAAAAAAAAACTGGATCATATCTAGCACTGTGAGATAACTCCATTATTATTGTGAATAAGATGTAATTGTGATCAAAAAGCAAATACATAAAAGCAGTATTTCACGCTGATCTTGCTGCTTCAGGACACTCAGTGGGCACTCTATGGAAAGTCTTATGGAAAGCTCTGTGCAAACTGTGGAACTGCACACCTAAAGTACTCCCCAAAATTGTTCAGAATGAGGCAAGGCCCTGCTCACTTGGACTATCATGATTTTGCAGCCTGAGAGTATAAAAGGGGTTTCGTTGTGTGGAGAATGAGACTATGGGAGAGAAATAGAAACGTTCACTAGAATGAATAAGAAAGAAGAATCAAACATTATCCCTACCTAGAAGGTTTAATTGGCTGTGTAACAACATATATATACTGCATTCCTTGTACATAACTATGAAGAAGGCTGCATACTGTCTGCCATAATTTTTACCTTGTGGCTTTGATGAAAAAGGGGTATTTTTGCCAAATTTGCTGAGCCATCTGTTGGTTTAGATTCTTCACTGTCCTTGGATATGTTCTTAAGATTGACAAAAGTATCCTACGGATATGATAAAGGCCCATGAGTGCCTTGGGACCAGTTATGGTCTCTGGAGCTATACAGGAGCCCATGAATGTTTTCTGACAATGAAGATCGAGTTCTGACTTTGCCCTAAATCAGTTCCAACACTGAATCCTTTTATATAGTCTACAGTAGATTGACTGTGACCCCAGGAAGTCATTCTTGCTCAGCCAGTAGCCACCTGCATATCAGGCCAGTCCTTTAAAGAAACACTCCATTTTTCCCTTGCTGTTTAGCACCCACTTTTTTTTCACTGCAGAACCAACAAAAAGGATTTGCATAAAGAGAAAGTGTACATGGAAAATATTTTTGATGCACTGTAAATGTATTTTGAGATGAACAGAGAGGAAAAAGTATAAAGTCTATTTTATTAAACAAATGTCTTTTAAGGTGATGTGTGAACTTCAAGCATTGACATATGCACTGTAAAAGGGGAATCCCGTTTCTTTTGGAAAAGCAGCATCATGCTTATTTATTATAAATGTGACAATAATACTCCTTTTTGGTTTGTCAGCAAGAATCAAACCTCCTTCAGAGCTTTAGTGTTGGATGGAATTTCCAAGAAACACTTCAGATTTTCTCACACATGTAGTGCCTTCCTGGGCAGACTTCTTCCCTTCTAAAGTCCATTGAAATCATTGGGCTTGGAAGGATATAACTCGGCTTTGAGTGGCACTGTTTGTTTCCCTTCCTAGGTTTTCTGGAACAGTTCAGTATGTGGAATATTTTGCATCCTACGTACATCATTGTATATTATTGAAAAACAAACATCCGGCAATGCTTTTTCTCAAAGCACAATTGGAGAATTAGCCATTTCCTCATAAGGAAAAGAGGGAAAGGTCCAATTCTACCTGTTCTTTTTTTCCTGAACTACTCAAAATTTAGAATTTTGCTACCTGTCAGACTAAAAGACTCCATTTCTTGTTACCCAGCAGGTGTGTTAATTTGGTTGTTCTTTAAGGAAACACTTGTACATTTTGCTCCATTCCACACAGACACAAAACAGGCCCGCTCCATATCAATTACAGGAAATGATATGAATGTCACAGGAGGCAAAGCCCTTCTGATTTCTTTGTTTCAAAGAAAGTGATGTGCCATTTGTTAATATAAAAGAGAAATATTGAAAAATATATTGAAAAGAGCAATTTTAAATTATTTTTGGCTTATGTTGCAATATTTATTTTCTTGTATTAGAAATTCCTTTGTAGAGAAAAAATGTATTTTTCATTAATGCAAAAACCTATTTCTCCTTTTTGTACATTTTCCATGTTAGTTAATCCTTAAAGCAATATAATGTATCAGAGTTGTTCTGTGTGAAAGCTGTATTATGCATGCTGTTTGTGTTGCCTTGGAATAGGTCTGTCTGCCATAATTTTCATCATGTTTCGATTCAGTGTATGCTTTAATACACATTGGGACCATGGCCCATTTGCTTATGAAAAAAAATCTTTGCATTCTTCAATGTGTTGGCAAATGCAGTCAATAAAGCCGTGTTTTCTGTGCACTTGTGCCTGAATATTAAATGCTCAACAGGACTAATTCACCTCAGTATCAAAAGGAGTCATCTTTTCATACACCCATAAATTCTTGATGACAGTCAGCATTAGATTTTTTAGCATCTATGCAATGGCAATTAGTTTCCATCAAAATTAAGGGTGTAATTATATTTTAATGCTGTAATAGCTAGGCTGTGATGGTGCTGCAAATCTGCAGAAGAGCAGAAATGCCAAATAACATGGCACTCTCTGTACAATAGGGATTGGGTTAGGGAGAGAAAGGGGCACTTAACAAAATCCACATACCCCCCCGCACCTTGATTCCCTTCAGTGTTAGTCCCTCCTCCTGCTCTAATATGATATTCTTTCAGTTCTGTTCTTGCAGGGTGCTATTTGAATAATTTCTACAGTCTCTCCATTGTGGGAAGATTAGGGAGTCATTTACCTGGATCAATACTGCCTTCACTGTTGTTATTAACTGTGTTTGTGAAAAGTAGTAAGCAGAAAGTGATATAACACCCTTCTCAATGTTGAGCACACTCAGCAGAGACTTCCTCATGGAGAGGGTGTCACCTGAGACAGGGTAGATAATACAGTACAGTCATAATGCATTATAGAGTATTCTTTTCAGAGTCCATTTGGCCACTGAAATCTGCATCGGCCTGTGTCCAAACCAACAACAAATCTTCACAGGGGTCTCATCTTGTTAAGGGCTGGAATCGATCCTCTTGCTACTCTACCAGAAAAGAGTTTTCAGGAATTTATTCATTTACTCTCATTTTCACCCAAAACAGCCACCCAAGCATTTCTCATGGTATAGAGGACTATGATTGCACAAGAGCTCACAATTGCACAAGGTAGGTCAGGTGGAACAAAAGGAGAGGGGGAAAGTTGGAAGGACAAAAGTCTTTGGTCCCTATTTGTACCAAAAAACATAAGGTATAAAATCACGATGATTTGTAACAGTTGAATTTATATCTTCTCTTGTATGCCTTTTGACTTTCAAGGTAAATAAGTATAATTGCAACTTCCCATAAATGGAAAATACAACCTGGCATGTACATATATAATATTCATATCCTGGCTATGCACATATAGTAGTGGGTGTGTTGTATATATAAAACCAGCTGATCTTAAGCCCCCACAGAACTAATTTCCACTGATTTCAGCACATCTAACTGAGTATGCATAGCCCCATGACTTGAGTGCTCTCCAGCCTTAACCCAATATGAACTGAATTAAATAGCCTTTATCCAATATGGCTGCAGTCTGTTAAAATCAATTAAACATAGCTTAATTTTTCATTGGATAGAAGCCAACATCTTTATAACCAACTGAGTAATCAACATGAAATTTGATATGATTAGTCTTAAGTTTTTAAATAATTTGTGGGTTCATAAAAAAAAAGTTTTTATCTCCATAGAGATCACCACAATTACTTATGCATAGCCCAAAATTTGGCATATATAGATCAGGCTTCCAACAATTCTTGGCATAAAATAGTGATAAAATCTGTCATAATTCTAATACATCTTATTTTACAGTTGAAACAATGGGTAGTCTATATCAGATGTTGGAAAAGAGTTGCTTTGAATTCATAGAGTACTGGGAAGAGACCACAACAAGTTCAACAAGGCATTTGGGATAATATAATAGAGGCTCATACTGAGAAATAGAATGGCATGATAAAACATCTGAGAATAATGAGGAAGAAAACAAACATCACAGGAGGAATGGGACCAAATATGGGAGAAGGGCTTTGTGCCAATAACCCTAAGTTACAATTTCAGCTCCAGCTAAGTGAACATAGAAAAGATTCTTGGGCCATATTATTTAACACTGTGCATTACTAACAGGCAGCTAAGAAACCCCAGAATTTCAAGATGCCAATCAGTTACTGTATGGCTTTCCTAAAGATGTGGAAATAATGCCACACCTGTAAACCACTCCCAATTAAATATATGCGATTTTTATGCCCCCACAAGCAGGCTCAGGACAGGTTATAGGCTTCCAGAGTCACCCCTAAACTCCTCACCATTGGCACTAGCACTAAGACTGCCCCGCTAAGGGTCGGGAGTTGGATTCCCAAACCCACACCCGCATGACTTAGATACAGGACCTCCATCTTTGATGGATTTAGTTTCAGTCTGCTCTGCTGTAACCAACCAGCCACATCCTCCAAAGCCTCAGCCAAAATATCTGGGGCAGAGTCCAACCAGCTGTCCATCAACAGAAACAGCTGGGTATCATCAGCATACTGGTGACAACCCAGCCCAAAGCCATGGATTAACTGGGCAAGAGGGTGCATATAGATGTTGAACAATATTGGGGAGACCCATTCCCCCCTGGGGGATGCTGCATACCAAATGATAACATGGAGACACCCTCTCCCCGAGTGCCACTCTCTGTCCCTGACCATGGAGAAAGGAGACCAGCCATTGCAAGGCTGTTCTCCTA